ACAAATCATTCGAACAATTTTTACTTGCAATTGTTTGTTTCAATATTTTCGAATACTTTGAACGATTCAATAAAATTGATTTGCAATTTGCGTTAAAAGAATTTCCACTCTTTGATATTTATGCAAATACTTTTCTTAAAGTATCTATTGAAAGTATCTACTTTAATGTAAGATAAGAGATTGCTTCGATCTAATTTTGTTAATAGTTTTTACGTGCATACATGGATATTGGAAAACGCACGTAATATTTTTCTCACATAAACTAGAATAAACTAAAATTCATTGAAAATGAAAAATACATTTTTTTTTTCCAATTTACTCATGAATTTTTCATTCGTTCAACATCATTAAATTGTAATTCAAAAGTATTGGTAGTGAGATCATTAAAATTACTTCTAAAATAAATAAATTAGTATTCTCCGAAGTACGATCTTCATTTATTCAACTCGACAAGTAAAATTGTTAGTTTATCTTTGACCTAACCAAGTCTCGTATTATTCAAGGCTAATCGAAACGTTTTCTTCTTACTCAAACATACACACTCATACAAAATTTATGAATCCTGAAAAATATTCAAGAATAAAGAACAATACTCTCTACGAGTATTTGAAAACTTTGAACAAGTTAAAATATGAAAATCCTTTGATAAGTAATAGATTTATGGCAAGAGGTCAGGAGACATTAGGTGTGTCTCTTTAAGTGAAAAGAAGAAAATCTGAAGAAACTTTCCCTTTCGAAATACCACTTGGAATAATAATAAAAACCTATGAAAATGAAATTTTATGTGCATGGTACAGAATATATAAGCAGTTTATTTTAAAAGTGACTTAACTCCATTGGTGTTGAAAACGAGATATTGAAGGGTTTGCATTGAAATGTGATTACAAATATATTAACGAGTTATACTGCTTAAATGTATCTAAGGGTATTCAATTTATAGTTCCTATTAACATTATGACGTCCGGTGGCTCCACGTTGGTGCCATGCGAAAACTATCGGGTAAGTGCCGATGGCTCCACGTTGATGTATTCGGAAATTATTGCGCAAGCGATATATATATATTTTATATTATATAGTATATATAATTATTTTATATTATATATTATATATTATATATGTATGGCAATTATTAAGTGAATAATATGCGTTTTCTTATCAAGAATGGAGTTAGGTCATTTCTAAAATAAACGGCTCATATTTAGTTTAAAAGTAACATTATTTAATTTAAATATTAATTGTACATACTTAATTACATAATAATAAATATTAATAATATTTCATTGTTTTTGTTTGTTTGTTTAATTTTAGTACCATCGGAGGAGGTATAGTTCTTTTAATGATATGTGCAGCAATTTACGAACAAAATATTGTCATAGAAAGCATTGATATCGAATCTTCAAGTGGAACGAACAATAACGAAAAAGTTATTAATTTTGTGGATAAAAATTTAACACAGGACAGTTGTATTTCTATAGTACAAGAAAATGGTGAAGAATTGATCGACAAAGTATCGAATAATATACAAAAAAAGGATTTAAATACTCAGATAAAGAATATCAACGAGAAAGGTTTGATTGAAATGAAAGTATTTTTTGAAAAACATTTTCTTCTTGTAATTATTGAAAATGATTTTTGCAGAATTTTGGGTGAAGTGTCTATTAGCTTTCAGTCCAACTATAAATGGTGGAAAAATTATCAGCACCGAACCAGCTGCCAGAGACAGTTTGACCTGTCTTCATGGTCTTCGAGTCTTTTCATTAGGTTGGGTCGTAATGGTTCATACGTATCTACAAGTTTTTGCTATAGCAGGTGAACCAATTAATTTTATCGTCGAGTCTATTTTCTAACACCTTTTACACATTTGTTTCAACTAACGTCAGCAAAATACTTTTTGCCCTTTTCTGTTACTTCTTTCTTTTGTTCTTTTTCTTTTTTTCTTAGATAATAAAACGCTGCGAACCATCACCGAGAGGAACTTTATGTTTCAGACGATCAGCAATGCTACTTTTTCGGTTGATACGTTTTTTTTCATCAGGTAAATATTTATTTTATTTACTGGATGAACCCATTAACACGTTGAGCGCCACGCGAATTTTTAGGGAAACTCTCGTCAGGCCACAGGCGTTAGTTTGTATTGAAAATAGCTGAACGTGTCAGTCATTTGTGACGGACGCGGCCTAAGCGGAAAGTCGAGGTGTCAGTCACCGATGACTGACATGGCGCTCAACGTGTTGAAGTTGAAGAAAAATTTGACAAAAATAAATGTCAGGTAAAAAAGATAAAATAATATTTACAAAAAGTTGAAATTTAACAAATAAAAAAGTTCACCTCATTTTATTCTACAGCGGTCTTTTGGTTACAATATTGTTCTACCGATCATTGGGTAGTTTGAAAATCGATAAAAGCGATTTCTTCAAAACTAGCACAAGCAAGTTCATCGTCATGATTCTTTACAGATTTGTTAGGTGAGTAGAAAGTATCCAATGGAGAAAGAGATAAAAATAAAGAGATGACTTTTTTTTTTTTCTTTTTGTGTCACGATTACTCCTCGACCTATATTACGTTACTTTTTCCTACTTCACGTAGATTGACACCGGCTTATCTCTTCGTTCTTGGGATAAACGAAATCTCTATAAAACAAGTTGTAGCAAGAACCGTTTACACACCGGAAAATGCTAATCATTTGAACTGCGAACAATTTTGGTGGAGAAATGCACTATACTTGAATTCACTTTATCCTAGAAAAGAGATGGTAAGTTTTTTCTTTTTTTTTTTTTTTTTTTTTATTATAACACAATCGATTACGTATAATAATAGTTTCGTCATTAAATAATTTTCGTCATAGGATTAACCGTAAGAAATAATAATAACCGTTTAATACGTTCTCGTAGATTTCGTAATAGATCAACCTGTTAATCTCATTACATTTATTTTTTATAACATATTGAATCATTTTAGAAAGGTATAACATTATCGAGTCTACAAAAAAAAACGACACGATACTTCAGATTATAATAACAATGTTGTAGAAGTAAAAAAAGAAAAAAAACTCGATTACCTTGCAAATCGCATTGTGATCTAAAAAAAAACATGGGTTAACGTTTAATCGATCGTTCCTATTTGCTAATTGTTATCTCGATCGATGTAATCCTTAATTGATTCGAACGAGATTATCGTTCTAGGTTAACATACTTATGTCAGGGTGGAAAATGATGTGGACCGTTTATTTGGAAATTGATGAACAAAGTCCATTTTCTGTTTTTTTCTAGAAAATTATATTGTTCAATTTATTTATTGGTTTATTGTTATAAATTTATTATTTATATCTCACAGATAACACATCATTTAGGTTATGTAACGTTCCCATTCAAATAGGTTCAATTATTAATTATATTAATTATACAACTTTGCTCCCGCAGTTTTCCTATAGATGGCATTAGAAACAATTAAACGTTAGAGATCCTATAGAAGGGTCGTATGGACGCATCCCTGTCGATATGGGTCGTAGGAGGGCGTATAAATTGTAAGGCTGAAATCGTGGGGGGACAGTTTCCGTTGCATCGAGCAGCCATGTTTATCTTTAGTATGTATTAATGGCTGTGGTTAGTTTAAGTTTGGAATATTTATAGTTTTTATTGTGATATTTATGTTTAATTGTTTTTTTTTTTTTTAGTAGTTTTCTATAAGTGTAAGTTTAATTTCTCATTTAATAATTACAAATATAAATGTACAAACCTAACCTATAACTTATCGTTTGAATTATTCGCGCACAATCACGTGACTACATAAGTTCCTGTTCCCCAAAATTCTTTGGCGCGTCCCTCCTACAGGGTCCCTATTAAACATCGAATACAAACATTATGAATTTATAAATATATGCTTCCAATATTATTTAGCATCTAGTGAACATAACCTGATAGCACTAGTAATTGATTTGTGTTTACATACTCATTAAAAATGTCAGTTTATGAGCCGAATCCTCGTCCTCCTCGTAAAAAATCCAGCATAGTAGTGTAAGACCAAAAGTTTTTGAAGATGAGGAATTAGAGCATTTGCTCGATGAAGACTTATGTCAAAGTTAAGAGGA